GCACTCTTGTCTGACGGGAAGTGCCCTATATCACACGCATGCGGACAATAGGCCTTTTCATCATGTGATAAGCGCAAGCGCAGCCGCCATTTTGAAATAGCGCCAATTCAAAAGTTTCGTACTGTTTTGATCAACAATGGCTGGAAAAGCAATATTATCTCTACATACAAATCAATTATTAGAAAAAATCGTTGATGGTGATTTACATTTTCATAACTCTGTGGAAGCACATAGTTGTGAGCAATTAGGCATTCCAAACTGAATGGCTACCAGTGGGTTCTGACGGTTTATGATATGGCAAAATTATGGCAACCCTGCAGGCCTGGTGATTTGACAAGGTCAATGAAATAGATAGTTACATAGATTGATCATCCATATTTTTCAAAATAAACATAAGCTTATGCCTTGAAGTAAAAATGTAAGCAATTATTTTTTTTTTAATATCTAAAGGCTAAAAATTGGTTTTAAAACACATTTTTGCTGAACCGATTCAAATTAATAAATATTTGCTAGGCAATATGGCCGCTCGTAAACGACCAGCTTTGAGCAATCTATATAACTATATATGTATCATTGACCCTGTTAATGACAACATGACAACAGGGTTGCCATATCTAAACTGTCATTACCCACTGGTAGCCATTTGGACAGGTCGTTGGAATGCCTAATTAAAAAGGTTTTTGAATAATAATTATAACTCTATTCTAATTAAGTATGCCAACCAACTATTATTAAATGCAAAAACACTCTAACATGAAAGTTAATCACGAGTATAATTAATAAGATACATTATTTAAAATTTTAAGGATCAACATGACATTTTTAATAATATTTCCGTAAATACCGAAGTAGTATTTAATATTAAAAAATATTGTGTAATACCAGATAAGGATTTTCTTCTGTTGAATCACTTTCTCCATGAAAATGTAGTGAACAAATATAAGTATCTTAAGTACCTAACATCATCCATCAATCGATCGAAAACCTTTGTCACTTCGACCACATTTTTTCACTCATAATGCTCATTTTAAATATGTTTTAATATGTATCTTGCCTAATGATTTGATAGTTTTTCACGATATTGCAGGCAAGTCTTTTTATAAAATAATAATTTATACCGTGTGTCACTTTTACATACTGATAACAATACCGTGTAGTTTTTCCTTTCCGTAACGATAACATAATTAATTGATTGCAAAAATTGATTTTTCAATTAAGACACTTATTACTTTACTTTTTTTATCCCATTTTTAAACGAATACACTTAAAATTATTATTTATCGATTATTTTTTTCGCGTGGACATTTTAACATGCTTGTTTACAAAAAACAGTACGAAAAAGATGGCTGATACTGACGCATGCGCACAAAAAAAAAGTGATGAAAAGGCCTATATAATCTACTCTCCACCCGTGTATTAATATCTTCTTTTCGCAGCAGATGTCAAATATGTCAAACGCGTAATTTTTCTTTTGTTCTACGTAATGTTAATATTAATAGTAAAATAGATTTGATAATTAAATCATAAACATTGATTTTTCTACCTTGATTCTAGATATTTATTTTTAATAAATTATTGTAATAATTTTATTTATAATATAAATTTTTGATTAGTTAAATCATGTGACATAAGCTCTGTTGAGCTCAGTTCATAGAGCGTTTAACTTCATCAACTTTGCATGTTTCAACCACATCGCGACTCTGGTTCAATCCCCCACGATGGAACCAATATTTTTTTTATTTTGGAAAAATATGAAAATTGAAAAACAAGGACCATTGTTATTTATTTTAAATATGTACATTTTATTTATCTTAATACCACATCTACAGTTACTTTTTTTGCTATTTATTTTATACTATTTTGATTAATGTTCAGAAATATTGTAAGTAGTTAAGTAGGTCATAATCTTTAATAATAAAAAAGTTATTGTTTACGGTTGTTCATCTTATTTGTTGTATTTACAAAAATGAACTAATGATAATTTTATGATTGATTTTAATTTCGACAAAACCCAATAGTATGAAGACTAGAGAGAAGTATTTTGAGTATGCCGATTCGCCTCCTTATCTCTAGTCTTCATACACAATAGGTAAAATTATTCAATAAATCTAAAACCAGTCACATTTTGATTGAACAAAGATCCAGATTTCCTAGTTTTACATTTTAATGATAAAATTATTTTGTGGTCGTAGGAAAAATATTGTACATTACTTGTGTAAGTGATTTTTCACACACTCGTAATGTAATACATTGTTACTGATTCAGAACTAAATAAATAAATTGTAATATATAAGGTACTTAATAAAAACACTTTTTTTATTAAATTTTTAATTTTTTTATTTGTGTCTTTGGCTTATAGAGCTATATTACTACTACACAAAAGGCGAAAACTAAATCAATTCACAATGATTAATGATCACAAACAAAACGCAAATAACTACCAATACCTTTGCCCTTTAACTGGACACAATGAGCGACTGAGAGAATGAATCGAATGAATATAACGATATCCGTAACCTAGATCCAAAAACAATTATTTAGCTGCAAAATATTTTGCAAGGTCAAGAATCTCGTTTCCTATCGCGAAAGGGGAGGGAAGGAAGGCGCAGGGTGCTGAAGTTATTTTTTTCTCAGTTACGGTTTAACGAACAGTTTTGCCATGTCGATTAGATATCCAAACTGGACCGGATAAATAATAAAGAGAATTATACGCCATCTGTTGAACAAAAGAACTATTAAATATGAAATACTGCTCAATCTGTTGAACAAGAGGATTCTTAAATATCTATCAAAATTAGTTAGTGTTATGAATATTGGAGTGCCATTAATTGGTTGGTTTTCTAACTAGTTCTTCTTCTAGTTCTTCTTTATATATAAAGAGTGATACGGTTATATTTTTTCATTTTTTATAAAAAAGATTAGAACGCCTTTATCAGGATTTGAACCCGGATTGCCAAAACAGAAGGTAAGTGCCACTGGGCCAACGTGGTTATGTTAATGTATTTTTCTAATCAAGTATATATGACCTTAGTATTTTCAACAACAGCTTTCTCAAGACGTCTTTGACGAATGCTCTAACATTGCGAGGATGACAGCAAAGTAGTAAAAATTTAATATGTACCTACGATGTAAGCTGGAGGAGCCAGTGACACTTTTAGGTGCGTTGTTTCCGCAAGGCAAATGCAAAATTAAATACATATTTTTAGTTCATTCTTATCTTGTATAACATGGAAATATACTTACCTACCGATTAACCAGAAAAGAAAAACTATATTATTGACTTGTGTAATTATCTTTAAATTATGTTAAAAATAAATATCTATCAAAATAGACATACCTACCTATTTGTCAATCTTTTAATTGATGTTCAAACCTTATAGTATGTTACTCAAATGGGTTTGTTATGTACTGAGGGGGGTAACCCCTTCGGTGTTAGGTACACGACGCATTATGATTGGCGAGTTGGGAACACGACGATTTATGATTGGCGAATTTAAATAACGCGCGTATTTGTGATAAATGACATTTCATTTGACGTCTTGTTTTCGTTTTTAAAAAGATCGTTTTTTGTGGCATCCAAAGATAATTTGGACAAGGTGTCTCTTTGATAAACTTTTTAAGAGTATTTTTATTATAAAATACACTTTTATTTAAGTAGATAGATGTACCTACGTAAATTATCAAATGCTTCTGACACCATGTAAAAAAACATGTCAAACTGTTATTAAATTATTAAATTCTAATATCCAGTCTAGACAAATATAATTCTTCTTGGAAACATATTAACATCAGACAATTTTATTCTGACCAGTTTCATAAAATCTATACTATTACTAACAAGGTAGCAAATTAAATTTTTGATATCGGTGTACATAGGGAAAACCAGAGTGAAAAACTACTTATAAGTGTATACGAATTTTCCTTAATTTTCACTTTAGAGCCAATAAAAATTAACCTAGAAATTAAGTGTCAAAATTTCATGTCATATTCCTTAAAAACAATTTAACGTTAATGCGTTACAATAACCAGTTATCTTTTTAGTGCTTTATTCACGTGATTTAAAGGTTAACCAAGGGTATAACCAAAGTGATTTCTGGTTCATCGTTCTAAAACGGTTATTATCTCATATCTCATGTCTTAATTGAAAAATCAATTTTTGCAATCAATTAATTATGTTATCGTTACGGAAAGGAAAAACTACACGGTATTGTTATCAGTATGTAAAAGTGACACACGGTATAAATTATTATTTTATAAAAAGACTTGCCTACAATATCGTGAAAAACTATCAAATCATTAGGCAAGATACATATTAAAACATATTTAAAATGAGCATTATGAGTGAAAAAATGTGGTCGAAGTGACAAAGGTTTTCGATCGATTGATGGATGATGTTAGGTACTTAAGATACTTATATTTGTTCACTACATTTTCATGGAGAAAGTGATTCAACAGAAGAAAATCCTTATCTGGTATTACACAATATTTTTTAATATTAAATACTACTTCGGTATTTACGGAAATATTATTAAAAATGTCATCTTGATCCTTAAAATTTTAAATAATGTATCTTATTAATTATACTCGTGATTAACTTTCATGTTAGAGTGTTTTTGCATTTAATAATAGTTGGTTGGCATACTTAATTAGAATAGAGTTATAATTATTATTCAAAAACCTTTTTAATCAGGCATTCCAACGACCTGTCCAAATGGCTATTATCTCAAGCATTATTATGATTCCAGGAAAGCAATGATTAAGAAAAAAATTTAAACAGTTATTTTTTAATACAAAATTAGCTCTTGCCCAAAAGAAGATTCAATGCCAAAAAAATATAATTAAAAAACTTAGGAGAAATATATTTTACAAAATCGATTGAAATCTTTAAATATTATGATAGGATATATACATAGAAAATAATTCTTTTATCAAAAGTACAGATACACTTGTGGATGTAAGAATTAATTCCAGTAATTTTCATAAACGGTTTTAATGACGAGGAAACATTTTATTTATATATGATATTTTAGATCAAATTAGTTTATTTATTAGGCTACTCTCTCAAACACAGAGGAATCGAGGACACATGCGAGTCCTGGATCGACTCTATGTTAAGGGAGAGAACTATACACACAACCCTTATGGGAGAGACAATAGCGGCACGGATAGCGAAAGGATGTCCGCAGGGTGGAGTGCTGTCTCCACTCCTGTGGAACCTTGTAGTGGACGGGCTGCTTAGGGCTCTCAAAGATAAGGGACATAGAACCCTGGGATATGCCGATGATCTAGTGATCATGGCACAGGGAAAATACAACACTATAGTAAGAGATCGAATGCAAAAGGCTCTAAATATAGTAACAAAATGGACAGAGGCGGAAGGACTAAACATTAGCCCAAACAAATCTGACATAATTGCATTCACACGCAGGAGGAAATTGGAGGGACTAGGGCCTCTAAACCTAAGAGGTGCAAGCATCCAGCTTAAGGGGGAGGTACAATATTTCGGGGTTATGATTGACTCGATACTTACCTGGAACTAGCATCTAGAAAGAACCACAAGGAGAGCGGAAACCTCGTTAATGATGGCAAGGCGATCCTTTGGAAAAAAATGGGGGTTAAAACCAGACATGGTATATTGGCTTTATAACATGGTGATAATAACATACGCAGCTTTGGTGTGGTGGCCAAAGACACAGCAAAGGAAAGCAATAACAAGGCTAAGCAAGGTACAAAGACTTGCCTGCCTCGGAATAACGGGGACAATGAAAACAACCCCCACTGCTGCAATAGGACTCCCACCTCTTCACTATGTGATACAAGGGGAGACAAGATTAGGTGCTTACAGATTAGGGAATACACTGGGAAATCTTGACATTAGGCCAGGTCACATGCGTATCTCAAGGTTAGTGACAGGAGACGTGCTAGACATGAGATCAGACCACATAACCAAGAGGTACTCTATTAATACTCCATTTGAGGTTTTAATACAGGAAAGAGCGGAGATCACCATAAGGGAGCCCAATGCCCAACGACAGGAACAAACCTGGTATACAGACGGGTCTAAGACTGCGGAAGGCACTGGGGCAGGAGTATTCTCCAAAAACCCTGATACTAACCATAGCTATGCTATAGGAATACATTCCTCGGTATTTCAGGCCGAGGTATACGCAATTTTGCAATGTGCAAAAACGAACAATGAAAGAGCTGTCGAAAATGAGCATATTCAAATAATGTCAGACAGCTAAGCTGCACTTAAGGCCATAGCGAGTCAGAAAGTTACGTCGAGGCTGGTATGGGAATGCATCGAAGAACTAAGAACACTGGCAGACCGAAATAGAGTAAAACTATTTTGGGTGTTAGGTCACCAAAGAGATCGAAGGCAACGAAAAGGTTGACGAACTTGCAAAAAGAGGGCCAGAAGAAACACCGGAACCAGACACAAACCCAGGAGTACCAAAAAGTACAGTCCGGGGTTTCATAAACGACTGGATTCGGGAACAACACATCAACTATTGGGAAAGCACCCCAAAACAGGCACATGGGAAAGCCTTCATAGGCAGACCATGTCCCAAAAGAACTGGAGAACTACTCTTAATGAATAGGAACCAGTTGAAAGTGATAACAGGGTTCATGACTGGGCACGCCCCAGTAAAGGGACACTTGAACAAAATTGGCATGTACAATGGGGAACTCATGTGCAGACTATGTCACAAGAAACCAGAAACGGCCAAACACATACTGTGCGAATGCGAAGCTCTAGATCGCAAAAGACAGGCTCTTTTTGGACAACCCCAGGTTGATCCAACAACGTATAGAACCCACTCACCCAACGATCTGTACAAACTTGTACAAGGTACAAAGGTGACAGAGTGGGTGCTATGAACTAACATGAAGTAAAACACAATAAGGCAATAGGCTTCAGTGTTATTCGGAGACACATAGTCAGACGAGCCCAGGGGAAAAAAAGGCTACTCTTGAAAGTGGATCTCAGGAATTGGTCAATATATCATTCCAGAACAAAATTAAGGGCGTTTGCACTAACTTTAAACTTCTACAGTATGAAGACATATGTGAGAGAAAAATTTAATAATTGTTTCCCACATCCCAGTACTTTATCAAAGTCGTATTAGGCTGTTGACGGTTCTCCTGGATTCACTGAAGAGCATTGAAATTTAAAGGCGGACAAAGTCAGAAGGTTTTTTAAATCTTTTGATGGATGAAATGGCAATTATGCAAAGTGTGGAATGGACTGGCCAAAAAATATATTGGACATGTTGATGTTGACAGTAAGTTTCAACAAAATCAGTCAGTTGAAACAAAAGAACCTATTGTGTTCTGCTTTTAAAGTTAATAAATATGTCTATTACAAATAGTTAGGTACCTACTGTATTTTATTTTATCTGTTGTATGTGTATAAAGTATCTATTGTGTATATATGTAAGTTTTGTGTGATAATTTTAAAATGTTTTGTGCTCTAATATAGACAGTAAAATATAACTGAACATTTTTTGCCTGAAAATGTGTATGATATATCTCACGAATAAAATGTTTTTTTTTCTGTATTCATCCTATTCTATAGGTAATTGGTTTTTAACCGTTAAGTGATGACCTAAACAAATAAATAATAAATAAATTTCATGGGAATTCGGTAGCATTAATGTTCATTTCATGTTTTGTTTTATAAATAGCTTACTTCTGCACACATATATTAAATCTAGGCACAACAAATAGCTATGTTTTGATTACAAAGATTAATTATTTTATTATAAAACATGTACATTTAATATTATTACTACTAGAAGTAAATTATTGTTATTTGTTTTTATTTTTCTTTTAATTACTCTATATAAAAAATATTTTAGTTTCTAAATGATCTACTTGAACTAAACGAAAATAATGTGTGACCACAAATTCATTCAAAAGCATTCAGTTTCAAAACCTATATCTACAATAAAAAAAAAGTTTTCAATCCAAAACGAACATAGAGCCATTTCCAGTTAAACATGTATACGTATACAATACAGTGTATAACGAAAGATTAACATAAATAGAAAAAAAAACATTGTTTATTAAATTTGTTTATTAATCATGCAAATTAATTATCTAAATTATTATTTATTGTGAAATTACAGTGGTAAACATAAATGCGAACCCTTTCAAACCGTACGCCATTGAGAATGGATTACCTACCCCTCTCCCCTCACGCCAAAAGTGATGACCCCGCTTATACATAACAAAATACATTGAATGATATCTCAGTCTTATAAGCTCTAAGGATCAAACATTTTTAAATAATTTGACATTTAAGAACGACACCAATATGGAAAAAAATAACTGTGGTTAAGTTTCACAATTGACAGGCATGGCCAACCATTATTCTGATTTTACTATATTGGAATGCGTAAAATTAGCCCCATAAGAAATGCATGGGATTTTAAGCATATTGATATTTAAGTAGTTAGGTTGAACAGAATTTTTTTTCAGAAATCAACGAGTTACGAAATAATGAATTTATTCCTTTCTTTTGCACCATACTCAGTGGCATAGCCACGGGGGTTTTAGGAGTCAGTCCTCCCCCCTATGGAGATACTTCCCGCCACTGTTTCACCATCGTATTGGCGCTGATCGCTAATAACGGTTTGTTTTTATTAACTTTTTAACGTTTATTAAAAAAATATTTATTTTTATTTACTTCTTTTTAATAAAAACAATCTTATTTGAAATTATTCACTTTGTTCATAGAAACCCCTCCCATGAAATTTTTTTGGCTACGCCACTGGCCATACCGTATGTATTTAGCTATCAGTTAATTGTTGCTTTTTCCGCGATAAATAATGCAGAATGGATAAGAAACGTGTATGGAACATTTTCTGTCAGCTGTTAAAATGGCTGCTATATTGGATAATATTAATTCTAAGCTTGTTACTATTAATTCGTTAAAAGAAGAAAAAAGCGAATGAAAATCACCTTTAAATAGTCTTTTTAAGCTTTAAAGTTTCTTATAAAATCTACCGAAACTGTACCAGTAACGTATACCTATTTATATAGGTAAATATTCCACCCGTTATCATTTTCCTCATTAAGATTTTGCAATGAATTTTTTTTTGTTTTGAAAAGTTTTGAACAAATACTTTCTCAAAAATAAATCAATTATTATAAGTTATAATATAATTGCCATGTTTATACTTCCGATTTTTACGGAAATAATAGAAATTGGCAATTTATTCTAGAAAAAATATTAATTTCTTCGGGGTATCTGTATTCTAACATTTTTTCTTCTAAATTTTGCATCTACAACCAACTGTGCTTGACGTTTCAAATAACCTCGGGAAGGTACCTCTTCTTCATCTTCTGATCCTAAAGAAAAAAATAATTACATTTAAATAAATCAATCTAAGTATGAATTAAAAATATGGATGAAAATTATACTTTTCTCGCAGGTGTCCGAAAGAACATTTTCGCTCGGTGTTTCATACATTATTTTTTATTCGAATGTGCTTATAGATATTAAAAAAATATAGGAAATTAAATATAAAATGATAATATTTCTAATTTGTGTTATAACTGAGATCTATATCTATAAGATTAGGTAAGTATTTTAGGCATTACAGCGATCTATCAAACAAATTAGGCATTCCAAACAAACATATATACACACTAAATGTGCCCGCGATTTCTGACAGTACTCTCTTCCTATTCTTAATAAAAAATTTACTATTTTCTTTAATACAATCAATCAAAAAAAGAAAAATGAAGAACAGAAAGCTCAAAATGAGTTTTTTTTTTATTACAATCACGTAAGATTTTTATTGTCTTTTACACGTGCATCGTATGTAGATATTTAATATTCTGATTCATGATCTTTAAAGTTTGGCAACCTAAGATATTTATTTCACATCGCATCTAAGGACGGCGCCAAGTCATAGCTTAAGTTTTATTGTAGTTTATTGAAATTTTTGAGAATAATTTGACCATTGAACTATTTAATAAGGTAATTTAGGAGGAAATGTGGAGTGTGAAAAAAATTTGTAATGAGAATGTTATGCGATCATTTCATAGGTAAGGTTTTGTTAGCATAGACGGAGACATATATAGGGAATAAAGCTTGATTTATTTAACATTGTAAAGGTATGTGTAAAATTTTCGCTGTTCTGTCTAGAAAGAGTTACTCTAAAAGTAGGAGTCGTGACGTTTGGATTACACGTATGTTTTGGTAAGATCTAATTTGTGTACCTATTTATGTCTGAAATAAAGTTGTTTTAGTTTTTTCATAAGGTTTTTATTTCATAAAGAAAGATGTAGTCGTGACAATACCGATGTAAAAATAATAAAAAATAGCTTTATATTTTTATTTGCTATTCATGTATTTTTTTAACAATGATACTAGCATACCAAAATCGCAATTTAGCACTTGCAAATCGACGACGAACAACTACTAGACTAATTTTGTTTACAAAAATCGAATTGGAAACATTAACAGTGTTATCTACGTAGTTGTGAAATTATTATGAGATAGTTTTATTACAAGGATTGTTTATGAATATAATTATAATGTTCAAAAGGCTTTCAAAATTACATTAAGTACATAGTTACATTCTTAATACTCAGTTTAACGTATTTTTCTCACTGCAACTATCATAGTTAAAGAAGATTTCCAGAAAAGTTTGCAATTAGTTTTGAAATGTAAGAGTAGTGTAAAGCAAGCACCGTAAATAAATACTGATTCATTCATAAAACGCATGCTTTGCTTCGAAGATCAAGAAACACGCACAAGTTTGTGCGTGGTTCATCTACACTCAAATTAGCAGCCGTCTCGTTCTTTCTAATAATAATAATAATAATAATAATCTCCCTAATTCACCCCCTTACGAGTGAATTTTAACACCAAAAGCTGAGCTTGTGCGGGGAAAGGGACGGCTATTATTATTATTATTTGCCGTGGCGCTCCGGGGCGACTTAAAGATGATTGATGGTGCCATTTGATTTACAGGTGAGGAAAACCCGGAAAACCTCATCCACCATCATCGAGACGGTAATGCATGGCGATTTTATAATCTGCATGTCATATCAACAGAAATTGAATTTCTATTAATACGGCACACATCAAATCCTAAACCGAACCATGCAATTTAATTAAAAATCCACATGGTCCGGTCTGGGATTCGAAGCCCAGCAGTCTCTGACTCATAAACTTGCCTATAAATGAATATAAGCGCGTTAGACCGCTACACCACCGACCCGATGCGGCAACCGATGCGCCAACCGATGCGCCAACCGATGCGACAGCTCTATTTACGCAGTATAAAAGGGCTTAATTATGATTGAATGGATTAGTCTAGTAGTTTTTCGTAGTGGTTTCAAATACTACCAAAACTGTTTCTCCAATTTGAGCTGCTATTTTAATCTATAAGCGAATATACAGAACGGTTTTTTGAATACCCTGTACCTATGTATTGAAAATGTTTTCTTTAAATTTACCTTTGATTCAGAAGACCTATTGAACGTGTATATGTTATTAAGATTTGATCAATAAATATTTTATTTAAAATCTAATATAATCCTCCCGAAATAATACGTTTATGTACGATACCCCTTTCTCCGTCTGGTATATGCTGCGGACAAAAGGTGTATTGGTTATTAAACAGTGTGAAGGGCGAGTCTCTTAGATAATATGTCTATGTTCCTAACCAGCTACTCGGTACTCTAAGTAACTAGTTAAATATCTGTTTCGAAATTTATTGGGACACATCAAGCGTCCTCTCCAACCGTTGATAAAGAAACCTAATATAACGTTATAAATAATTTTCAGTTTTATTTCCGCAATATTACCTACATTTAATAATTATACCCTCCTAGGAAAAATATTTCGTCATACCACTGGTACGAATATGTCCTTACTATGTATTTCAAGATCACCCGTCGAACATTAAAATCAATAATTTGGGTCCTGCGCGCGATCGTACAATTGAATTTAGAATTTAAGTAGGCTTTAGGGAATATTCAGCTTTCTTTTAGCTGTGTGAGGTTGAACGATTCACATGTTTATTTTGTGAATGTGCGCTCAATGACTAAAGGTAATTATTTAATATATTTGGTTATTTAGGGGGTTATGATTGACGACCTATGTTATTTTTAACAGGTCTGTTATTTTAGAAACACACAGAAATAACAACCTGTTCACAAATAACGTGTCTGTTAAAAATAACATTACTTGTCCATCATAACCCCGATAGAATTGCTTGATAAGTGATTACAGGTTCAACATTTCGTTTGCAGATTATTACGTGAGTTGTTTTAGGTTGATTAACGTTAAAAATGCTCTTTCGTTTTTTATACCCATGCCATGAAAAGCGGCCATTTTTAGTTTTTTTTATATCTAGATGGTTTTTTTCCCATCTTTTAACAAGGTAACTGAATACCGTTGCGAATCTAATCAATCGCTGCAATGTTAATAATTGTTATATATTAAATGTTCTTATTATTTTGTACTTTCTTTTTGTGTAACACATGTTAAGAGATGGAAAGTTTTTTTATATAAGTGACTAACTAAAGAGGAGACCGGAAAAGTAAAGGTAGAGCCGTTACATAAAGAGGAACAATAAAGCTGTACTAAAGAAGTTAAGCCATAGATAAATTAATAAACAAGATAAACCGTTTAAATGCACGGCACTGGTAACAAGTTTTTAGGTGTTTAGTTCCTCAGCATACTACTTGGAGCCACCATCGCAATAAGAAGAAAGCGATGTTGCCAGTTTCCATAAATTTTCATAAGATTAGAATTATTTAAACACATTATGTTGTTTTTTTGTCAAGCTCGATACCATCCATACAATGGCATACTATTGATGGGATATTTTAAAAAGAGGTTTGACAACCTTGTAAAAATGAAAAACGGAATGGCGGCGGAAGGCGAAATGGGCAAATTACAACAATATAAGTAAATAAAAGTTATTTTATGATGTAAGTTCGCATAGGTAGGTAAGTTATTTTTAGGTTAAGAAGATATGAGTGATGATTTGATGTAATTAGTAAGTATTAACAATTTAATTTAATATTAGGTGTTAGATTTGTTTAAGGACTTTGTTTATCATTGTTTTCTTAGCCTTAACACGAAATATAAGTAATTTCATTTTGAATCTATTTTCAATTCTTTTTTTAATATATTTGTAACAATATCAAAACATGTCTGACCCGGGTAAAGCATCGAAGGGCAAAGCTAAGTATTCTTGTTCAGCTCCTAATTGTTTAAATAAGTATTATAATATTCAGCAAGCTGATTATTCAAATAAAACTTTTTTTCATTTTCCTTCTGATGTTAAAATTCGAGAGAACTGGTTTAAGAATTTAAATTTAACTTTTGATAATAAAACTCGCTATCTTTGTGAAGATCATTTTTTGCCAGAGTCTTTTAGCAAAATTGCCATAAAACGTAAACGACTAATTGTAAATGCTGTACCAATTTTATTAGATAATAGTACACCCAGTTCAACTATACCGAACTATATTCAACCCGAGAGTCATATTTTAGAACATGTTGAGGCTGAAGCACATACACAGCAGCATAAGATAGATTTGCTAATCCACAACGACAAACAAGAGATGAGTTGCAAACGTAAATTTAGTATTAGTGATAAACAATTTGAACAACCCTCAAAACGGAGAAAAACTGTTTTGCAACAAATAAATGAAAGTAGAGTCAAAAATTTAACTCCTAAAGAGAAAAAGCTTTATTTTATTAATAGAGAACAAAATATTAGAATTTGTAAGCTAAAGAAAGCTCTTAGTGTTTCCAAAAATAAAATCAAGAGGGCCTTTGAATTATCCAAAACTCTGTTATTTTCAGATTTTAATAATAATTTAGATCCAGTTGGAATGAAATTCTTTAAAAGTAGCTTAGAAAATTGTCGAAGAAAAAAACCCTCTTGGACCACTCAGAATAAAATTTTTTCTTTAGCATTGTATAAAAATGGTCCAAGAGCATATAATTTTTTAAGAAAATTCATTTCGTTGCCTAGTAAATCTACTATCCAACAAATTTTAAGTGATTTACCTTTTGAAACAGGCATAAATGTTTCAGTGTTTTCCAGATTTAAAGAAATTGTTAGTAAAATGCCAGAAATTGATAGAAATTGTATTTTAATGTTTGATGAAATAGCTTTAACTGAAAAACTTACTTTTGATTCAGTTAATGACAAAATTGTTGGATATGTTGACTTGGGAAAAAAATTAGGTAGACGCCCAGAAGTAGCTGATCATGCTTTAGTATTTATGATACACGGTTTAAGAAAGGTTTGGAAACAACCTATAGCATATTATTTTACACATCATGCTATAAATAGTAAAGATCTTACTGAGTT